TTTATTCAAAACTGATATGATTGATAGTATCAAGTATAGGCAACTACACTAAAGATGACAAGACTCTACGATACACATTCTGGTTTGATAACTGTCGGTTTTTGAAGTTCTATACTATATACAAAGTTGTGTTTTTATTAATACTGTTATGTACTGATATATTCAATTATACTATGTCTGATGATATAGCCAATTCTATTGGAGATAACAAGATACAACACAGGAACCATGGTAGAACTCTTTGTACAACAGTCTTATATGTTTATTTCATTTCATGTGTTTATAGGAATATGTTTTGTTTTGCCTTGCTTTGTTTTGTTTCTCCCTCTAATATACAAAGGATAGAAATACATGTTAAGACTCATGCATGTGTAGAATCTATAAACAGTTTATGAGAGCTGATCTTATGACATATGATGAAATGAACAGATACTTTGAAGAAAAAGAGACACTAATATACCCAGTGCTGATCCTGGAGTGTCATAATGTGACACCCAGCAATAGTATTATTCTTTGTTCAGAGTGATATTAGCCTGCTTGGGTTTATTCAATCTCAACATAATTGAAGATATGGAAACTGCATGTATGTTTAAGTGTGTAGGGTTGATAACCATATTTCTCAGTTTCTGTTTGATAGTTGAACAGAACTGGTTGGAATCTCACTATTTGAATCCCTACTTTATATGCTCCACTTTAGTATGTTGAATAACTATTTGTAAGAAGACAATCTGTAATCATCAACTAATGATTTCTTCCTGTTTATTTTTTCTTTGAAATTGTTATTTCTACCCATTTTCTGTTTTGTTTAGTCTTTCTTTAAATTAAAAAAAAAGACACTACAGTACCCAGTGCTGATTACGGAGCGTCGTGATTTAAAATCCAGCAATACTATTATTCTTTGTTCAGAATTATTTTAACCTGCTTTAGTTTGTTTAATCTAAACATAAATGAAGATATGGGTAACTGCATGTATGTTTAAGTGTATAGGATTGACAACCATGTTACTAAGTTTTTGTTGGACAGTTGAACAGAACTGTTTGCAGTCTTGCTGCTTGAATTCCCACTTTACATGTTCCATTTTTGTATCTTGAACAACTATTTGTAAAATGACAATATGTAAACAACAACTAGTGATTTCTTACTGTTTATTTTTTCCCTGAAAGGATGTATTATTTCTACCTATTTTCTGTTTTATTTAGTCTTTATTTAAATAAAATTTAAAAAGCAAAGCAAAAGAAGAATGTTATGTCTCTATTTATGAAAGATATTGGCTTGTCTTCATCTTTTCCCCCTCCTCCTCTTAATTTCTCTCTCTCTCTCTTTCTCTCTCTCTCTGTCTGTCTGTCTTTTCATTGTTTGAGACAAGTCTCCCTATGTAGTCCAGGCTGGCCTTGAACTTGTAGTAATCTTCCTGCCTCAGCTTCCTGAATGCAGGAATTACAGGTGTGCACCCCCATGCTCATTTTAGATTTTTTCTTTTCTTTCCTTTTTTTTTTTTTTTTTGGTATTATCTTTGGTTTTGGTGTCATTCTATAAATGAATTCATATAATGAAATGGGAAGTATTTTATTTGTTTAGGAAAATGACATGTAGAATTTGTATCTTTCATTTTTTTCCTCTTCATTCTCCTCTTCCTTCTCTTTGTTTGCTTTTCATTGAAACATAAGAGTCCTTTTTTTTCTTTTTAGTGTTTCGAACACATCTTTAGTGAAATTATTCATTCCTAGACACTTCTTTTTTGGAAGCTCCTAGTGACAAGTTCAATTATCTCAGTATTTATACAGTTCTTTAAAGTATTTATTTGATACAAATACTTCAGATGCATTGTGACCGTTTGCCTTTGAGGAAGTGTTCCATTGCAGGCAAGTTATCATATTTTATGCCTGAGCTGCTGACGGCAGTCCCTGGTCCTTGTGAGCTATGCATCATGAGAGCGACATTTCCTGTTTTGTTTCCCACGCTGGTAGTATATGTGCTCTCTCCTTTCTTGTCACTTTTGATAGATATTTGTCCATTGTATTGACTTCTTCAATGAACTAGCTCTTTGTTTTTGTTAATATATCTTCTGATATTTTTCTGTTTTCAATACCATTGAATTTTTCTCTTTATTTTCCTCCTCTGATAGCTTTAGATTTATTTTGTTCTTCCTTTTCTATTGTTAAGTTGGGAATTTAGACTTTTTTCCTCCTAGTTGTATTACATTCTTAAGGCTGCTATAACAAACTGTTAAAAACCCATTGGCTTAAAACAAGAATGCATTGTTCAGTTCTAGAGGGCAGAAAGAGAAATCAACATCAGTAGATAAAATCATAATGTCAGCAGGTTTGCAACCCATTTCCTTGCCTTTTCCGGATTCTAGTGGCTGTCTGCATTGTTCAGTTTGGAATCCCTTCCCCCATCCTCAAAGCCAGAAGTGTGCACCACCTGTCTCCTCTCCTAGTTGTGCTTCCATCTTCTTCTTTCCCTGGTTCTGAGTTTCTTAGCCCCTTCTTATAGGGATTCTTAGGGTTGTATTAGATTCTCTTAGAGAACTCAACATAATCCCTGTATCACAAGAGTCTTAATTATGTCTGCAAGGTCCTTTATATAAGGTAACATCTTCACAGATGTAAGGGATTCAAAGACAGCCAGTTGAGGGACTGTAATTCAGCCCACCATACTAATGAATTCATATAGTGCTTAAATTTCTCTTCCATGACTGCATGTCATAGTTTCTTTTCTTGTTGCTGGAACAAAATACCCAATACCCACAAGTTATAAGAGGGAAGGACTGTTTTATCTGACAGTTTGTAGAGGTTTCACTCCACAGTTGGCTGGCTCTACGGCAAGGAAGCATGGTGAAAGAACATGGCAGACAGGAAGCAATTTATGGCATGACAAGCAGAAAGCCATGAGCAGTCTTTCTTTCCTTTTTTATTCAATCCTGGCTACAAGCCAGGTTGGTGCTACCAACCTCCAAGGTGAGTCTTCCCTCTTCAGCATGTCTATTATCCACCAGACCCGTGCTAGACCGATTAGTGGGCTAATCCAGTAACACAGAGCCATCATCCAGTACCACACATCTATGATCTGGATGCCTCACAAAGGCTCACCTGTTGCAATGGCAAGCAGAATGCTGAAACAGTGCTCAGGATTTGGGGTCAGATTTACTTACATCAAGAGTCACTGATCTAGAACATTCTTGGTGGTATAGAGCTTATATGGAAAAAGCAAATGGGTAGTACAGGGGAGGAATGGCTTGTTAGTAGGGGATTGATTATGCACTGTGTATCATAGTGACCAGCTATGCATCATGGGGGCCGTGGTTTCTCTGAGACAGAAGCAATCAGAACTGCAACAGAGCTATTACCTGGGCAACTATTACCTGAACAACAGGAACCCTGGGAAGGGTACTGTATAATGTGCCATTTTCTGATACACTATGATGACATGAGAGGGCCATCTAGGTATAAGCTGAAACAGTGCATCTAATTCCTTTTATTACCCATGTCTCATAAATTTTGATATATATAGTTTTACTTTCTCTTGCTTAAAAGCATTTAAAATTTTTCCTTGGGGCTTCTGCTTTAATCTGAAGATTATTTAGAAGTACGTCCTTAGTTTCCAAGTTTCTGGATACTTTAGTGCCATCTTTTGTTTGGGTATCTAGTTTGATTCCTTTTTTGTCATGGAATACAGTACGTAATTTCAAGTCTTTAGAATTTGGGGTAGTTCTATCTTGTTTTGAAAGCCTATAATGTTATTGTTTTGGGGTCTTCGTTAGTGTTATTTATTTGTCTCTTTTGTTTCTTGTTTTTCTTGTTTTTTTTTTGTTTTTCTCTCTAATACAAAAAGGACAGATGTACATATATAGGCCTATACATGCTTTAATCTCCTAAAGAGTTTACAAGAATTGATTTTATTATGTGTGATGGTATCAACAGCTACCTAGAAGAAAATGAGACATTATAGTAGTCATTGCAGATTTCTATCTTCTTATTTTGAAGTCCTACAATGCTTTTATTATTTGTTTCGATTGAATTTAGTCTATTTTCTATTATGTGATTTCAATATGTGTGAAGGTATGAATAGCTATTTTGAAGAGACATTATGGTAGCCATTGTTGATTTTCTTACTGTCTGGTTTTGAAGGTCTATAATGCTTTCATTCTTTCATTTTGATTGGTTTCATACTATTTTGTTTTGTTTCAATTCATTGTGTGTGAAGATATGGACAACTACTTCGTAGAAAACAAGAGACATTATAGTAGCCACTGTTGATTTCCTGTTGTCTTGTTTTGAAATCATGTGTTGCTTGCATTGTTTTGTTCTGATCTGCTTTGTTCTATTTTTCTTTGCTTTGTCTTATTCTCTTTAAAATAAAAAATAGGTGAAATTTGTGGTAGTTTATTTATAACCCGAAGAATGGTATGTATTGGCATATGTTCCATGTGCTGTGAAAAATAATACCCATTGTATTGTTGTTGGGTAGTGTATTCTATAATTGTCAATTCGATGTTCTCCACTGACAGTGAGGAATTCTGCTCTATGCCTGCAGATACTTTGTCTGCTGGTCTGAATAAGTATTGATGGAGAGATGTTGAAACTGACAACATTAATTGTGTACTTATCCTTCCAGTGCTTTCACTTTTTGCCTCAGGTGTTTTGCAGCTCAACTGTTTGATTCGGACTCATTTAGGATAGTCTGTCCTCTTGGTAGACTTTTTGAGGCATGGTTTTGCTATGCAGTTCATGTGGCCTGTGAACTAACATTGTAGCCCAGGCCAGCCTTGAACTCATAGCAATTCTCCTGCCTCAGCCTCCCCATGTCTGGGATTACAGATGTGGCCCATAATGCCTGGATCAGAAGTCTTAAGAATTGGTTTATGCAAGGAATTTGAAGAACTTTGAAGAAGTGGCCTAGAAAAAGCCTGGAATGCCATATGTGAATCTTAAAAGGGAATTCTGCTGGATTCTCAGAAGACCAGAATGGTAAGGATATGGACAACAAAGAGGCTTCAGTTGGAAACTGGGAAAGACATTTACTCTTATTACTTGGTGACAAGGAAGTTGAATGCATTTGTCCCTGCTTTGAGACTTGATTGGAGGATGAATTGGACGGTGAGTCTGGTTTACATCCTGGGAGAAATTTAATTGGAGCAATGCTCTCAGTCAATGCATGGGTATTGCCAGCTACTTTTAGCCAAATTTACAAAGAGAATGAAGATAAAAAACAAGAGACCAGAAAGATATGAAAACCTTGCAATTTGGCCAAAAAGGTAGCATATATATGAAGTCTTAGGCAAGGAGCACAAGTTGTCAAAGTGATTACTGTCCATAAAAAGAAGTCAAGGGCTTTACACAGGGACAATAGGAATGATACTTTGAGGACATCTCAGGAATTCACAAAATGAAAAATTTGTTTCAAAAATATTAGTTTGAGGAAGGAGCCATGGGGCAATCTGCCCACTTGGGAAAATTTAAGAAACTGTTTCCCTTGGAATTTGTCTTCCTTGTTCAGCTAGCAACACATTCAGAACCAGCTGCAAGTGTGGTTCCAGAGGCCTCAGGCACAGACTGGCCGGGTGGTAGATCTTGGCTTCATCCTCATAAAACCAGCAGGCATGAAGAGTTACGGGATCATGTGTGCTTCCATCAAGATATCAACGGAAATCCAAGATATCAACGGAGGCCACACAGTGTGAAGCACTGTGTAGTCCCTACAAGTAGAACAAGAGAACAATCTATGGAGCCATGAGAGTGAAGTCAGAGCTGGAATGGAGATGCCAGGGAGGAAGTGGCACCAACAATGAAGAACTTTTGCCATGGAAAGCTGCACGCAGTGGGCAAAGCAAGGGTAAGAGTGGTCCTGTGTGCTGCATGCAGCAAAGCCATAGGGACAGCGTGCCCTGATGCTTGACATAGGCTGAAATGTTTCATGTTTGCCCTGTTGAGTTTTGGTTTTGCTTTGGTCTTGTAAGTCTTTGTTATTCTTCTATTCCTCCTTTTGCAATGGGAACATTTTCCCTGTACCTATCCATCATTATCATGTAAATATGACTCTTTTATTCCCCCCACCAAAGACTTCCAAGCTGAGTTTACCTTGAGTTTCAGAGAAGATTTTACATTTAGATATTGAAGAAAAGTCAAGATAATGAAGATTTTAGGTTTCTTGGGAATGCATAAATGCACTGTGCTTCATTCAATGGACAAAAATATTGGGGAACTTAGGGTAAGATGCTGTAGTTTGGATGTTAAATGACACACAGAGGTCCATCTGGGAAAGGCTTGCTTACTCTCTGGGATGGCGCTACTGGGAGCTGGGAGAGCATTTAGGAGGAGGGGTATAGTGGGAGGTCTTTGAAAAAGTACAGAATTTGTAACCAGATTATAACAGGAAATTCTGCTGGAGGCTCAGAACGCCATTAGATTAGGGGACTATGGCTTCTTCTTCTTCCGTCTTTTCCCCATAAAAAACGGATTGTGGGACCCTGGCACCTTGTCCTTCTCCTTCCTCTTCCCCACACTCGCTGTGAGGTAAGTAGGTTTGCTCTGCCCCATGTTGCCAGGGTTATACAATTGTCACTAACATAGCACAGCCAGGTGGGTACAGACTGGAAGCTCCAAGCCTGTGGGTCAAAATAAACCTTTACTCTGTTTAAATTGATCATCTCAAATATTTACTATTGTGACAGAAGCTCACTGTAACACAGAGGCACTGAAGGTAAATAATGGCTTGCTCTAGAGCATTATCTTCTAAGTGGGTAAAAGAAACCAAGAGGTAGTGAACCACTGAGAATAGTGAACCAGAGAAAGAAAACCAAGTTTTCAAATCATAACTTGAAAACTTTTGATTGTGGTCCACGTCGCAAAGAGAAAACTGTCCCACCACCCTCAACTCCTTATTGCTAAGCCCCCTTCTTTAACCAGATTCACCTTCCATCATGAACTCCACCCATTCCGTGGAAGTCATCTGCACCACGCGGTTATCTTTCACATGCCAGCTATCGGGTTCTTTAGCAAACACAGCACAGCAGAATCTCTCTATTCTGATTGCGAGAACATAGCCATAAAGACCTTCCTTGTTGTGAACTTCGATGGATTTGCATGTGTAATTTATCTTCTTCTTCTCCTTGCAGCAGTGATAGACAGGCAGTTTTGGAATGTCCTCTTCTATTTTTCTTTTTATCTCTGGGAGGTTATTCATGCCTTTTTTCAAGCCAATTATTGTTTGCGTCTTTTCATCTAAACCAATGAACAAATATCCACCATCAGTATTTGCAAATGCAGAAACATACTTAGGAACAATTTCTATAATGCGTTGTTTTGACCATTTTGTCAAGAATGACTTACATTCAACATGAGTGGATTCACCAAAAGGAATTTTTCCTTGGTATGTAAGTAGTTCACTGTTAAAAAATTTAGCAGCTAAGTCTTTGCTGTCTCTATCATCAACAAAATCTCTGTCAGCAGGCATCGTCAGTGTTGAATATGACCTCCCTTCAGTTTTCTTCAGTTCCTTGAGGAACATCAGGGCAGAATCCTCACTCATTTTATCTGTACGCGACAAATTCCTTCTGTACATATTGGTGCTCAAGGTTCCATATCGCTGATCATGTATACCTGACTTCACAAATATGAAAAAGTTGTTTTCTTTCTGCATGAAATTAAAGTAGTTTTCAACATCTGGCACCATATGTTCAAAACGTTCTTCCAAATCGTGTCCTATTCCACATTCTGAATACCTATAGTCTTCATTTTCAATCTCCATCTTGATTATTCCCCCTGCACACTTCAGTAGAGCAGATGTAGCTCGTAAGATAGTGTTTTTCTGTTGTTTTTTCAGTGTATGATCATTCATGTTGCTTCTAGCCTTCTCTCCAAGGGTAACTTTTTTTGCATCTAAAACCAGCTCAGCGTAGTCAGATTCTGCGTCAATAGATAAATGTATTTCCCCAGTAGCCATCTTAACCTTCAAGCTGAAATTTCTTCCTGTAAAATAGACAGAGCCCATTGGAATAGGACCTGAGCAGGAGAGAACAAATTCTGTATTATTCAAGAAATGCAACCAAATCCTTGCTGTATAGATTCTAGAGAACTGGTGAGTATACAGACAGGAAGTAAGGTTTGTGGAGACGAATTTGGAAGTGAGACTATAATAATTTATAATCCTACTGATCCTTCCAATTTGTTTCCATACATTTATTGATCTTCTATTTCTTTGTCATCTTTGTGTGTGATTTTATCTCTTCTCTAATCTCTAATATTGCATGCCTATGTTCTCTCTCCTTCCTTAAATAAACTGCTGAAGGGAATCTGCCTAATCTTTTGGTCTCCTCAGTGAATCTGGATTTAGCTGTACAATCATTTATGCTTTTTATTTTATTTTAATAATTTTAGCTTTATCCTCCATTTCTTATTCCTTTTTGGGGGAGTCATTTGGGAAAATTTCTAGTTGGGGATCTAGGGACACTCAACAGTATTCTGTATTCATTATGCTTTGCTTCTTATGAGAAAAATTTGGGTTCACAAAGCTTGGTCAATCATCTTTTGTTGTTTTACTGTTGCTGTTTTAAAGTTTTTGCTTGATGTTAATTTTTGAGACAGGGTCTCACTCTGTAGTGCACATGGGCCTTGAACTCACTATGTAGCCCGGGTTGGCCTCAATCCTTCTGCCTCAGCCCCAGAGTGTTGGCATCACAGGGGTAACCTTAAATGAAGGAGTCCATTACTAGACCACTTTCCCTATGAGATAACCATATATTTCCAAAGATGTGAAAATCTCATATTCAAAACTTTGGTACTGTAGTCTGAATTTTTGTGTCCCTCTTAAATTTCCTGTGTTGGAATTTCTACCCTCAAGGCCATGAGTTCTTTGGGAGACAATTAGGTCATGAGAGTAGAACCTTCAGAACTGAGATTATAAAAGGGATCCCAGACACTAACTCAGCCCTCTGCCATCAGAGGACATAGCACGAAGTTGGCAGCCCGCAATGAGTGGAGAGCCCTCACCAGAACCCAAGCTTGCTGGTGCCTTGACCTCATCAGCCTCCAGAATGTGAGAAATGATTTATTATAATTTATACACCATGTAGCTCACGGATTTTGTTATAGTAGTCTGAGTGGAATAAGGCAGACAGCTTCAGTGTCTGTATTCTTAAACCATTCACTCTGTCTTGTTAAGATATATCATGACAAGGGCTTTGCTATTGATTGAATTTAAAGGATTCTGGGTTTACCAGGTGGCCTAGGGATGGTAGAGGGAAAGACCCATCATTATAGAAAAAGACAGCACTGCTCTTTGTCCTCCTAAAAGTATCACCTCCACACACACTCTGGAGATACTTATCCCGTCATTCCCTGCCACCTTCAGAAGCAGTTTGGGAAGTCCTTTTTGTGAGTGTTTTTATAAGGGATGACTAAAAACACATTGAATGTCATTGCTGAGGCCATCTGGAAAAAGACTGATTTGTAAAATCATTACTATGTGTCCTTATTGATCTTGCTCACCATCTATGGCACAGTCCAGCTTCTGCCTCTTCACAAAATTCAAAATAACAATGAAAGGTAGACATTTTGATTGCACTCAGGAGGCGGAAGTCATGATGGCACAACAAAAGACACTAAAAAAATACTTCCAGAACTGTTTCAGGAAACATGATACGGGTGCTTGAAGTGAGGGGAAGTACTTTGAATGAGATTCATAGAAAGTGTCCTTTACTGCAATGCATTTTTAAATTTAAACACTTCAGCAGGTGTGGTGGTGCACACCGATAACCCCAGCACTTGGAAGGTTGAGGCAGGATTATCACCATGCTTTTGAGGCCAGCCTGAGCTACACAGCAAAACTTTGTCTCAAAAAGCAAATGCGCAGAAAGTTTAATCATTCACCATATGTTTCAAACACCCCTCACACACAGCAGTCACTAGGAAATGTTGTAAAGGGGTCATACCATTCCTATGCACTCCTAGACCAGTATTGTGCAGAGGTTCCTATGGAGGCTGTAAGGGCACTCACTTCTTTACAAATTTTTATTACATGTAAGCAGTTATAATTTGGGGACTCTGAGCCATTTGGATAATGTGAATTAATTTAAGGTAATTCATATATCAATAATAAGCTTCCATACAGAGGAAAAATGAGCATGCATTCCGTATAACACCTCTCATTTTTCAGGAGCAGACAAAAAGTTCAGTAGGCGGTACATTCCACAAGCACCATTCCTCAGGGGACCTGTGAACTCTGTGCTTTTGTATGGGTGAACTATAGAATTTGAACATTTTCCTATATCTTTTATCTGTCTTTGATAAACTGATGATCACCCATCTCGCAACTCCCATTCATCCTTTCCCCTTGGTACCTTTACAAAACTTTGTACGCATCCTTGACACTAATTTTACCAGGGATACTTTTAAGGACAGGGCTAAAGTGTCCAGAGAGGTTGTTCTCAGCCTACAGAGAGTGTGTTACCAGTGCCTAATCATTTTTGACACGGGAAGGACAGTTTGGGGTCCAGGTTCCTGCCTGGGCAAGCCATCTGTGCTTCCCTCCTCCAACTGAAGACAGAAGGTGGATTCCATCCCGTCCCATAAGCCTGGTTTAGAGTGTTGCTTGGTGTTTCTGTCTCTGTGGGTGACTGTGTTTTCTTGTCCTGTCCTCACAGAGCTCAAGGATTCTCTTCCCTTCCTTGTGCATGAAAACAAGGGAAAGGAAGGCCGTTGCCTGCCCCAGACCTGAAGTGAGATGGACTCCTTCACTCAGTGTGTGCTGTGCTGAAGGTCACTCATCACATTCAATAAAACTCACTGAGGGCTCAAAATGTATTTCAGAGAAATAGACATGTGATCAAATACGTGGTGAATGTTTAGTGTTTTTTAAAAAATTTGTAACAGTAAAACACACAGTGTATTAACTCCCCTTCCCCTTTACTTGGAACACGCTTTCCGCATTGTTCTTCCACTTTCTGAGGCAATCCTAGAAGTCTTATGTCATGTCTTTAGAAAACAAGAAAAAGAAAAAGGAACACTCAGTAATGTTGCCCAGTTCCATTCAATGACAGATACACCCCACAAACCGTTACTGTGTGCCCTGATCTACCTGATTCCATTAATCCGGCACCCTGTGCATTCTGACCTCCCCATGAAGGGTAAATATTCTGAATCAATTCACCACCTCGGGCAGCCGTGACAACTAAAGACAGAAAAGGGGACTTCCAGCACTGCTTCAGCTAGATGTGTGCTGACATGTGGGCAAGTGTTTTGAGGGGGATTAATAGCGATACGTCTTTTCAGTAATAATTTTTAAATTGAAATATTCAAGGAGCTTTGTGATCACACCTCATAGGGTAGCTTAAAATTTTGTCCTGATCTATCAGCATAACAAGGCTTCTTGTCCAGATACAGTCATTTGGTACATTTTCTGTGGCTATCAAAAAGGAATATAGATCGCTGCTTCTCATGACCATTGTAACTCTGCTGAAGGGGATTTCCATGTTTACATTCTCAGATCGTCTATCATTACATTTAGTGTGGTTAATGCACCTATCTCTTCTAAAGAAACCAAATATATATCTTGAAAATGCCTTCTTTTTATCTCTGTTTCACACCACAGGAAACCAGGGCAAAGAGAGAGAATGATTTTGCGTTCCCTGGATTCATGAAACGATTTTAACATTGAGAACACCTTCACTGCAAGCATTGGATTTGAATCATTTATATTCATTTTACCAGACAGAATTAAATTCTTCAAAATCTTCTTTAAAAGTCTCAGTAGAGAAAGGATTTTTAAAGTCTTTAATTATTATTACTTTCTGGCCAAAAGTTAATATGAGTGTCTTGCTTTTTTATCAGTAGTGGGACCATGCTAATAGTCAGATTTTCCTATTTCTTAACCCAAAATTTGTCATTTTAGAGAAAAATAGCTTCTATTAGGATGGAACGTTGCTGAATCCTATGACTTGTTTTTTGTACCAGGGATCGAACTAATGATCTTACACTTGCCAAGGAGACATTTGTGCCATTGAGCTAAATCCCAGGTCCCTGTATTACTTGTCTTAAACTTTGAAGTCTATTGTATTCTTTTCTGACCATGATACCTTTACATAAAGAATTTCTCTCTCATTGTATTGTTTTATAAAGTAGAAAACATTAAAAGAATCAGAGTTCTTGGCTAAGGATGGTGGCTCATGCCTGTAATCCCAGCACTGCAGCAGGAGCTGAGGGGGTTGTGGTAAGAAGCTTTCTGTAAGTGTGAGACCAGCCTGGGCTACATAGTGAGTTCAAGGCCTGGCAGAACTAAATAAAACAGAAACAATATCAAAAATCAAATAAATTATCTATCTATGTATATATATATCTGAAATAAACAAATTTGATTTCTACACCCACTTTTCACTTTGAATAATGCATTTACTATCTGTGTAACTTTCAGATACACAAGGCTTTGGGCTCATATTCTTGTTTCCATGCCTATACAGTGCTTCTTAAAAAGACATCACAGTTAAAGGATTACAGATCTGGTACTTAACTTCTTCTTTTTTGTCTTTTTCCTTTTTATCAGTACAGGGGATTGAATTCACGACTGCCTGCTTGCAAGGCAGGTGCTTATGCCACTGAGCTAAATCCCCAGCCCCTAAGTACTTAACTTCTTTCACTGGAATCTTAATCCCACTATTAGGTTTCTATAAAAAGTTAGTTCAAAGTTGAAGCAGATGAATATACAACCACAGAGATTAATGAAAAGTATTACCTTCTGAAGCTGGGCCTCTTTCAACAGAAACTACTTCACTTGTCTATAGTACATTCTGACCATGTCACAAACAAGAAACAAGCATTTGCAGCTACATGGCTTTAGCATCTGAAAAGTTATGATCCCTAAAGACTGGATATGGAATCCCCCAAAGTGCTTCATTCCACTGATCAATTTACTAACAGTACAAAGTGGGTTACACTGTCTCAATTTTATAAGGAAAGACACTCTCTTACTTTTATGG